TTTCGGCACTAACGTACTTGAGCAATGTTGAACGCCCATGTCAAAGTCGGTTGATACTTTTTGTGGTTTATTGACCTGGTCTATTAAACTAATAGGTAGATTTTTCCCTGATCTCTTTGGTAGTGTTCAAGTATTGATGAATAAAGCGCTTTTTTTCAATTTACTTTTTTTTTCTTTTTATAAATGGCGCGAAAATTGTGAATGACTTCTAGTTTTGGAACCAGTTTTGTCCAAGGGGGCAGTACAAGAGTGCCGAAAATTAAAATTTTAATCAACAGTGCCGAAAATGGATTCGAATATCGTTTTCACTCATCCCAAATCATTGACAAGTAAATAATTCAAATCGACTAACGGACATTATAATTAATGTCGCTTGTAAAACAAGCAAAAGTTCCCAAGTGCGACGTCTTGAATTTTCTGAACAACTAGTTAAGTTAGCAAATTGTCAAAAAATTTTCTTCTTGGTTTCGCCTCAAAACAAAATTCAAGCTAATTGCCAATAATTAGCTAACAGAATTCTAAATTTTCAAATATCCTCAATTTCCGCACGGTTGAACACATTTTCTTTTCGTCACTGTTGTACTTGGGCAATGTTGAACGCCCATGTCTAAATTGGTTGATTTTTTTTTATTGTTTGTTGACCTAGTCTATAAAACAATTAGGTCGGTTTTTCCCTGATCTCTTAGATATTTTTCAAATTACTAAGGAATAAAGCGCCTTTTTTATTTTAATTACGCTATCTAATAGCAAAAGTTTAAATGGCGCAAAAACCGTAAATAGCTTCTAGTTTTGGAACCTGTTGAGTCCAAGGGGGCAGTACAACTGTGCCAAAAATATAATTTTTGTTCAACAGTGCCGAAAGTTGCTTTGGATACCGTTTTTCTCATCCCAAATCACTGACAAACAAATTCATTCTAATCGATGAATGGCCGCTTTTTATTAATGACGCTTGTTGAACCAGCAAAAAACTCCCAAGTGCGGCGTCTTAACTTTTTCTGAACAACTAATTAAGTTAGCAAATTTTTAAAAAATTTTCTTCTCGGTTTCGCCTCAAAACAAAGTTCAAGCTAATTGCCAATAATTTGCTTACAGAATTCTAAATTTTCAAATATCCTCAATTTCCATGAACACATTTTCATTTCGGCAGTGTTGTACTTGGCCAATGTTGAACGCCCATGTCAAAGTTGGTTGATACTTCTATGGTTTATTGACCTGGTCTATTAAACTAATAGTTCGATTTTTCCCTGATCTCTTAGTTAGTGTTCAAACATTAATGAATAAAGCGCCTTACTTTCAATTTACTTTTCTTCTTTTTTTAAATGGCGCGAAAACTGTGAATGACTTCTAGTTTTGGAACCAGTTTTGTCCAAGGGGGCAGTACAAGAGTGCCAAAAACAAAAATTGGGTTCAACCTTGCCGAAATTTGCTTTGATTACTGTTTTTACTCATCCCAAATCACTGACAAGTAAATTAATTCGAATCGATGAATGGCCATTTTTATTAATGACGCTTGTTAAACAAGCAAAAATTACCAAATGCGGCGTCTTACTTTTTTCTGAACATTTAATTAAGTTAGCAATTTTTCAAATTTTTTTTTCGGTTTCGCCTCAAAACAAAATTCAAGGTAATTGCCAATAATTTGCTAACAGAATTTTAAATTTTCGAATATCCTCAATTTCCATGAACACATTTTCATTTCGGCACTGTTGTACTTGGGCAATGTTGACCGTGTCAAAGTTGGTTGATACTTTTAATGGTTTATTGACCTGGTCTATTAAACTAATAGGTCGATTTTCCCTGATCTCTTAGCTAGTGTTCAAATATTAATGAATAAAGCGCCTTACTTTCAATTTACTTTTTTTTAAATTGCGCGAAAACTGTGAATGACTTCTAGTTTTTGGAACCAGTTTTATCCAAGGGGGCAGTACAAGAATGCCAAAAACAAAAATTTTGTTCAACCTTGCCGAAATTTGCTTTGATTAATGTTTTTACTCATCCCAAATCACTGACAAGTAAATTAATTCGAATCGACGAATGGCCATTTTCATTAATGACGCTTGTTAAACAAGCAAAAATTACCAAATGCGGCGTCTTAACTTTTTCTCAACATTTAATTAAGTTGGCAAATTTTCAAAAAAAATTCTCGGTTTCGCCTCAAAACAAAATTCAAGGTAATTGCCAATATTTTGCTAACAGAATTCTAAACTTTCAAATATCCTCACTTTCCGCACGGTTGAACACATTTTCAGTTTCGGCACTAACGTACTTGAGCAATGTTGAACGCCCATGTCAAAGTCGGTTGATACTTTTTGTGGTTTATTGACCTGGTCTATTAAACTAATAGGTCGATTTTTCCCTGATCTCTTTGGTAGTGTTCAAGTATTAATGAATAAAGCGCTTTTTTTTCAATTTACTTTTTTTTTCTTTTTATAAATGGCGCGAAAAATGTGAATGACTTCTAGTTTTGGAACCAGTTTTGTCCAAGGGGGCAGTACAAGAGTGCCGAAAATTAAAATTTTAATCAACAGTGCCGAAAATGGATTCGAATATCGTTTTCACTCATCCCAAATCATTGACAAGTAAATAATTCAAATCGACTAACGGACATTATAATTAATGTCGCTTGTAAAACAAGCAAAAGTTCCCAAGTGCGACGTCTTGAATTTTCTGAACAACTAGTTAAGTTAGCAAATTGTCAAAAAATTTTCTTCTTGGTTTCGCCTCAAAACAAAATTCAAGCTAATTGCCAATAATTAGCTAACAGAATTCTAAATTTTCAAATATCCTCAATTTCCGCACGGTTGAACACATTTTCTTTTCGTCACTGTTGTACTTGGGCAATGTTGAACGCCCATGTCCAAGTTGGTGATATTTTTTATGTTTGTTGACCTAGTCTATTAAACTAATAGGTCGATTTTTAACTGATCTCTTAAGTATTGTTCTAATATGAATGAATTTAGCGATTTTTTCATTTTAAGTTTGTTGCGCAAAATGTTCCATTTTGGTGGTTTGACTTGTTTTTTTTTTTAAATTTGGTTAATTTGTTTTTGCAGATAGAGGGTAATTTTCCTTGCGACAAGCAGGGGTATTGCAATCTGGTAGTAAACTTTTTCCAGTAAATAATTTTTTTTCGCAGGACCATGGATCATGGACTCATTCATCTAATGGGTTTTTCTGTTGCCACCGTCATATTTTGAGCATGTTTGCAGTTTAAATGTCCAGCCGAATCAAAATGAAGTATGCTTTTTATGTTCGTTGTAACCGAAACCTATAAAGCCAAAAAATCAAGTTGGTGAAATTACAATCTAATGGGTTTCGGTTTAGTTTATATTGACTTAGTCGCCTCTTATTGTGTCCATCGATGATGGAAAATTCAGTTTCTACGTATGTACTTCAAGATGAAAGGGAGTCTGAAAGGGATTTTGCATTCTATTATGGGCATGTTTTTTTTTTCAAAAGTATCTTCATTCGCTTTGATATGTCTACTTGTATGTATAGTTATGACACTTGCGAGAATAAGTGTCTTGTAATCGGAAACTAGAGTTTTCCCCGTAAACAACTAGTCTTATAAATCTATTTTGCTTTTCACACTAGCTTAATTTGTGAAATCAAACAAACTTCAGGCGTGTGGTTCGAGTTCCCACCGGATCTTTTTTTTTTCATTATGTATGAAATTGAAGTTTTTTCCGGTAAAAATAGAATTGCGGCTTAGCTGCCACATAAAGGATATTTTTTTGAGCTGTAAGCAAATTTCATTGTAGTTGAAAGTGATTTTCAACGCTGTTTCTGGGAGATTCAAAATTTCTCACCAAATATTTGTTTTTTTTTCTGCTCAACTTGTCTGCTCAAAAATTGTCGGGTTTGTTTTCACTTCGGAAGTTTTGTTCCTTTGCTTATTCAATATGCACACGTTTTTCGTGGCATTTTGTCTAAAAATAAATTTTCATCGAGACATGCGAAAATTGTGTTAGACCTATTTTTCTGAACGTTTTTCTTTTTTTTTGACATCTCATGTTTTTCATTATGTTTTGTGTTGCATTGCAAGTGATGCATCAATTAAAAAAGGAATACCGATGTTAAATATCGGTATTACTTTTTTTGCTGATAGTTTTTTTGCTGATCGTTTTTTGGCGATAGAGCTCTTGGGTTAGTTTCTGAATTGTGTATACCTTGCATTCAGAACATATATGGATTTGGGCAGTACATAATTTTTTCATTAATTTTTTGCGGAAAAACGTTGGTTGGTATTCAGCTTATGGGCTGTCTACTTTAGTTCTGTCGGTTCATATAGCTAATATTTTGTTTCCTACAAATTTTTGATATAATTCATGAAATCGATAAGACTTAGACCTAATTTTTCGAATGCTGAAAATCAAACCCCACTTGCAAGTGGTGCGCACCGAAGCTTCGCCTCTGTGTTCAATTTCTAAAGTAAATTGCATTTTTTGTTTATGAACATTTTTGTTTGTTTATTTTGGAAAAAAAGGTCAATAATTTTTCTCATTCAGAGTGGCTTTTTATCGAGTGGGAATTTTAACTTCGTATTTTCCCTTTTTATTTCATTTGCGAAAAAGAAGAAAATTACGCTCTTAAATAACAAGTTTGCAAAAGGCGGGAAACTGGAGCTTGATTGTCTCAAAAGTGGGTTTTATTTAAGATTTTCCTGCGAGAAAAAAGAATGGTACAGTTTTTTCCTCAATTAGGGATATTTTTTCGAAAAAGTTTCAATTGTTAAAGACTTTGGAAACAAAATAGCTTCAATGTTGTATTTGTTTTTTTTTTTTCAATTTTAGAGGTTTAAAAAGAAATCAAAAAAAAAATTTCTTACAGTTTGCTAAAGATTCTGTAAGAATTCTTTTAGAAAAGATTCTAAATGATCTTTTCTTTCGGATTTCACTTATAAACTGCCTTAATGACCTATAAACGGCAATTTTAAGTCGAATTCGAAACTTCAATCTGAAATTCAAATGTTAAGTGCTTTCTATTGTTTTTTTTTTCAGCGAGTGATAGGCCGGATCCCCCGTCTCCCAACCACTCTGAGAGAAGCAGCAGCCAGCATTCGGTCACTTCTTTCTCATCTGCCAGATCAGTTACCAAAATACCCTCTGCCCAAATACACAATTGGCAACATCCCAGTCCTTCTTCACCTCCTAATTTAAGCCCAGCCGGCTCAGATTTATTGAATTGCTCAGCGCGCCAAAGTCGAAGTGAACCAGGATACATTGACGTAAACGGCTCAGTGAACCAGAATACAAATACCGCAACTCCTAATCCTCATCGCACAGATACAGGTTGGTGAATTGCGCGAGAAATGCCTAGTTGAAAAAGTTAACTGCATGTTTCTTATTCAAAACTAAGAAACATAGCTTTAATTTTTAACGGGAGTTATTCATTTTTAGTATGCAATTAACTTTATAGCGTTTGCGGTAGATAATTTGGACAACTTTGCGACCGTTTAGAACTCGAAAATAATTCTGATCCGGAGGCAAAAGAGGAAAAAACAACAACAGAGTCGAATAAAATTAATCAAGACGGAGACGACAGTGCCTCCGAAGCCTCAGATTCTCTGAACGAGTCGCAGATCCCACCTGCATCATTGCTGAAGAGCTGGGATAGTGGAGACACTCTACACCTCATAGGGCTATCTCAAGAAGAGAACAATTTGTGTAACAGTAGTAATAACCGTAACAGTGTTCAAGATAGTGGGCTTACCAATGGACTTACAAATCACGAAGAGCTAAACCAGTTGTCAACTTATAAAAGACGGTTAGATGAAGAAAATTTTTAGCGTATAAATATATCCGGAATCAGTAAAACTTAAAAAAAAAACGACTCGCTTTCGAACTTGTTGAAGTAGCTAAAAAGATTGCAAATAAATTAATTTATATAACACAATTTATTGATTGAAATCGTTTTTTTTTCAGGTACAAAAAGAAGAACGAATCACTGGGAAGCAGAAATACTTTGGAGTCGGTCAGATCACAATTCTCACAGCGTTTGAAATTGGAATCATCTGACACAAATCAACAATTAGCTAGTTCTGACCAAAATACACTCGATTTTGATTTGAACAGACCTTCGAATTACCCCAAAAACAGCAATCTGACTGCAGGCGAGGAAATAGAAATGCAGACCATGAATGCTCCCGTCATGGCCTCGCATCATCATCATGGCTTCTCTGATGTGGACTTCATGCGAACTTCAGAGCCTGTCCTGTCCCGAACGCCCTTCATAGAAGCCCAAAGAGGGAGGAAACCCTATAAGGACCAGTTTACAATTTATAACGGGTTCGATCACCGAATGAGTCAGGCCAATGATACCAGAGTCATGCATGCTAGTAATGATTATAATGACTATAGAGAGATGCCAATTGATGTTCCTGGTGTGGATCCCAATTCTCTTGTATATAACCACGGCCCACCTCGAACTCCTAGCACATTTTACTCAGATCCCAATCACTACAGCCCTCCTAATTACCACGGACATGAGAGGAGACCCGAGAAGATGTCTCAAGGCGTGAATAAAGGGACTACTGGACCAAACAGGAACCCGTTTGCAAATCCCAATAGTGGCAGTAGTCCTCAGATGTTCTTCGACGAGAGACTGACCGAGACCACGTCAGTAGGAGGGGCCATCGAATCTCCGGACGAAGAGGCCAGACGAGTATTGGTGAGTCACCAGTGCTCTCAGGATTCTATGATGTTACTTGTGCGGTTTTTTGAGACCGAATCCCAAAAAAAGGAGATGTCAACTTGAAAATTGTTAATTTTGTCACTTTTCTGCGTTTGCAGATTTTTAGATGTCATTCCAAAGTTTCATTAATTCAAATTTGCATATATGTAGTATATGTTGGTGACTTTGGAAAACCTATTCCGTATCTGAATCCATAGCGGGCTGTCCGGATATCTATTCCCTATCTTAATACATGGGAGTCTGCTGGGTATCCCCTATGATCGGCACCCAACCTAAATGACTCGTATACCTGATTTTTCCTTCACCGTGATGTCCATACCACTCATTTTGAGAAATTTGGGTGTTTCAGGTACAGAGCAGTAATAACCAGTTTCATGCTGGCAGCTACCAATACCAACTACCGCCCTCGTACTCCTCCGCCGAGCAGAGGAGAGCCCACCAGTCTTCGATGCACTCGGGCGATGTCCCCAATGTATCTGCTGGCTTTTATTCTGAGATGGCAACGGTAGAAAGAGACAACAGTCTCAGTAAGCGAGGCGGAAACATGAAACAAGACATGCAATACACTGAACTAGGTGAGTTGAGAATGTGGGAACTTAAGCTTTATGGAGCGTTTAAGTCACTCACACACTCCGCCCCATTTAGTTTTTTTGTCATGTTTTGCCCTCAAACATTTCGCTTTCCGTTGTTCAAGAGCGAATTGAGCCACTAAAATCAGGGGCGGACGCCCGTCCTCGGGGATTCGCCCTCCTGCCGACCCAATGGCAATAACCCCCCTTGGTACTTTTTATAAAATCCATTTTGGGCTGAACGACCCTAAATTTTTTCTAAAGGCGTCTTCGGTGCCAATATATACTAACTTTGAGGGGGAGCGCATAAAAAAAAAACCAATTTTTGTCAAAATTTTTCAAAAAGTGCCCAAAAACTGCTTTTTTGATCTGTTTTTTTTTCCCAAAATTTGTTAATATCTGCTAGTGTTCTGGTAGCGCTCGGAAACTCAAAAAAATGTTCGACAAAATTTTCAAAAATTCTTGAAAATCCGCCCCCTCCCCTCGAGAAAATCCTTCTACACCTGACTAAAATGAATTGGGAAAACTGTGAGTAAATATCAGACACGCACATTTACTGTACTGGGATGTAACTGATATCTCGTGAACTTTTGAATGCCTCTGGTCCAATATTGTTTTTTGGTGCGTCACTCAAGTCTTAAAAAATTTGTCGGCCAAACTTACATGCCGTTAAACAGTACGAAAGCGGGACATTTGGGTGACAAAGCGTTGCTGCTCTTTGGGGATATCGGAAGTCCGCTGTCGTGGTTCCGCTCTATCTCTTTGTTGACAGAAATTTAGAAACAGCTGGTGAAAAAATTATATCCGACATAAGTTCTTGAATTTACTTAATTTGGTGAACTTATTTCAGGCAGTTCTTGTAAGAGTTGTACCAGCAATTACCAATAAATCCGTTTCTCTGAAATTGATTAAGATTAAGATCATTGATCCACGGGGGAAAGGACCAACACAGGAGCTGTACAGCTCATCACCGCGAACCGCTGTTGTGCACCTGTTTAAGAACTACATGCAATTTTTTTGGTTATTTTTGCTGGGCTGGGTAATGTTGCTTCACCCTCAAGCAACGAGCACGGATCATGGTGGGCCTCGATCGTCCGAACGTTCGATAGAGAGGCGGAGACGTAACGACTTCACCAAATTGAGTAAATCTGATTCCTTTTAAACAGGCGTCTATCACATATTTTTCTTGATATTCAATCAGATTAATTGGAGGTAGATTGTTGTGGTAGATTTGTGAAAAAGTCCCGAAATAATAAGTAAGTTGAATTGTTGGATCTCTTGGTGCGTTAACCTTGTCCAGTCGTCTTTTGACTATATTACTATGCTTTCAGGTGCTTAACATATGATATAAATATATCAGTTCATTTAAAAGAAACCTTCTTCACTTTAATGTGAAGGAGTACCGATCAATGAGAGGTTTTGTAGCAAGGAGACATCATAAACGAGTTTTATGACATAATTTTAGTTTTTGTAATCACCTTTTTCATCTTCAATTAGAAACTGATCGATTTCTAATTGAATGTACAAATTTCTTCTAGATAGTCTTTCTGGTTAGTATTATTCTACTTGTAGCACCTAAAGAGATTCTGGTTTTAAAAATTTTTTACGAAGCTTAAAAAGTTTCAGGTGTTGTAGCACATTTAAAGCCTCAGAATAAATTCTTCAGAAAAGTTCTTCGGAATAATTTGTTCAATAACTCTATGGAATAATTTCCTTCATCACAAAGTGATTTCAACAAAATGCCTTTATTTATTGTAATCATTTCTCAATCGATATTAAGATGAAGTCTATCATACTATTTCTGAATACAGGGGAGAAATTATTTGAGCAAAATCAATTTTTAAATATTTTTGCTGAATGTAATGACCGATTTTTTGTTACAATTTTTCTTGTTATTACAGTTATGTCGAAAATGTAGAGGTAGTCTATGGACCTATCCGACAAGCATTTTTCATTTTTTGGTTATTATTTTGATTTAGACTTCTCCCAGATTCCTAATTTGGTGAGTAGTCTTCCTGCCCAACACCAGCAAGACAGGGACTCCCTTACCCTGCAGAGTGCACTGAGCAGTGAGGCCTTCAAGAGGTCTCTAGTTCACTTCGACGCCATCAACAGAGTGTCTAACAACATAAACTACACAAATAACAGTAACAGTAGGGCCAACCGTTCAGTTGCGTCTCCTGCCAGACCATTCAGTGGACATAGTAGTGGGTAAGAGGTCCTTTTCATCCCCCTTCTAGCTTTAGAAAATGGTCCATAAATTTCCTTTGGCCATATTATAAGAGCTCGAAATAATTCATTTCTCTGGTCATATAACAGGAAGAAAAGTGACGTTGAAGTAGCTAAGATCTCCGTTTCTCTATCGAAAGATCGGTGGTTCGACGCCCAGCATGTTCTGTGCTCTTTGATTGTGTTTATTCTTCTAGCATGGGCAGTGGGCGTGGCTTGATAGACGAAGACGAGGATGACGAAGACAGGGCGAGCAGTGTGTTTGGGGAGAGACTGTTCACGCCCCCAGTTGGACAGGGCAGTAGTTTAGTCTCATCCCCAGCCACCAGTCGCACAGGGGGAGGGGGAGGGGGAGTCAATGTCAGACCAGTGACCCAGAACTCACTGCCTACCTCACAACAGGTACACCTGATTCCTTTTTGGGAATGTTTGCCTATCTTTATCTGTCCACTCATTAACATAAGCATTATTTTATAACTTCTGAGTCGTTTTGTAAGGTAAAGTATGAAGATCAATTATGTTTTGATTGGCATAATTAGTAGCAATTCGACAGAATGAACAAAAATTATAATTTCGCAGTTGGGAGGGGGAGTCTGTAGGAGCCAAAATTTCGAAATTGAAAGATATGATCAATAAGGTCAAGCTTGGTGGACAAGCTGTAGCATTTTAAATAAACTATTGAAACACTCAATACTATTTTTAAAAGTAATTTTTTGAGACAAAGCTTACGAAATGCCAGTTTCGTTGTTTCCAGTTTTTCCCAATTGGGCTTCTACCCAACTCGAACTGTTTAGAACGAGTCTGGTTCCAGCTGAGCTCGAAACTCGGCTCAACAAAGTCTCGTCAACAATGTCTGTGCTGATTTAAAGACTTAGCTATTTGAGTTCACGGAAATTTGTTAGCTTTTTTGATTTTGACGTCAGCTTTTTTCGAAGCTTGTGTTATAATATGAACTATCTTTTTTTCCAACCTAAGTCGCAAATATTGTTGCGACGCAAATATTGTTGCGACAAAATGTGTTCGGTTTGAAAGTGCTCATTTTGATCAATAACCAGCTATTAAGTACAGCCAATGCTAAGGATATTAACCCAGACTATTATTTTACAATTAGCACTTTAGCTTCAAGGTATGATGGACCTGTAGCGTAGAGGTAGGGCAGGGTCGGATGTTTTAATGAACTTTTTCCTATCCTAGCTAAACTGCGTCCGCTCTATAAATTGAGGCATGTTAGTTGGTAAATTTCTAATTTACAATTTTTTTTCAAATTGACTGATACTGCTAATGCGTCATAGTTGCCATAGGTCACTTAGCAATTGTGTATACCCATAATTGGCGTGCGTAACTTAAGAAATTTCGTAGACTCAAAGTTTTATCTTTCAGTTTTTCCCAGTAGCGTTATCTGTCATATTTTTGCTTGTGTATGCGAAATGCCTCTGCTTAAAGAGTTTTTTTCGAGCGGAGCGAGCTTTGTTTTTCCAGTAGTAGAATATAGACGTCAATTATAGGATATCGATGAAAATAAAACAACCAAACACAACATATTAACAAAAAGTTAATTATCTCAAAACTCGCATCTTGATATTTGAATTTTGTATGCTTATGAATATTGAGAGTCAATGAACAGAATGAAAACACTTCATGAGGTCGATTTTTTTTGCTAGGGAAAAGTCTTGAAATTTGATCACTTTCGAATGCTGAGAGGAAGGCAAATTACGCTCTCCAAATGCGAATGTGCAAATGGCGCTAAAATGTGAATGTTTTTGCATTTCGAAAGGTTATTTTTTCTTAAATTTCTCATTGGGATAAGATTTCCTGTTGTTTCATTTTAGAGAGTCGATGAACGGTAGTTCAGACTCTTATATAGCAAATGGTGATTTTTTTCAGGAAAAGTCTTCAAGTTTGTTCACGCTCAAAATTGATTTTTCTCGGTTTCATTTTTTAATTTATTTTCAAATTCAGTTCATTCTATTTTATGTTGAAAAGAAGTAAAATCTACTATTGAACAGCAAAAGTGTAAAAGTTCCCCAAAAACGTGAGCGACTTCTAATTTTTCAGTTTTTTCAATTGTTTTCGTTTTGCTTTCTTTGGCTATCATTGACTGTTTTCCAACTTTCTGTTGGCTATCTTTCTTAATGAATTAGTTACATTTGAATCGCGGCGAACCTGATTTGACAGTTGTCCAAACCAAACTATTTTTTCGATTACCTTGTTCATTGACCGTTTCTCAGTTTCTTCTGCTATATTTGATTGGTTCATAATAACGAAACTGCACATAATGCAAAAAAATCTCTGAAAAGATTTCAAAAATAATCTCTCCTCTTTTTTTCGTTTTTTTTTTAGTTAGTTGATTATTTTTCCGCTGTCAGCTGCCTGTTTTTCTAAATGAAGATATTTGGAGATGGAACATTTTTAAGAGTAATGAACGTAGTGAGTACTCTTATCTAGGTATCGCTGATTTTTTTAAAGGAAAATTTGTTCTCGCTCAATTTTGATGTTTCGCGATTTGACTTGTGATTTCGTAGTAAGTTCAGTGCATTTCCATTGTTAAAAGGAAGGCAAACTCCACTATCGAACAGCAAAATTGTAATGGTCACGAAAAACGTGATCGACTTCTAATTTCGAAAATGGAAATTAATTATCTTCAGAAACTATCATCAATGCCTAAAATTGTTTTTGAAAGAAATTGTTTAATTTTTTCCCGCGCCTTAAATTTGGCTGTCAATTAGCGCAAGGAAAACGAAAAAAGAAACGATTGCTGTGCCTTTTTGCTTAATTCGTTCGCATTTTTTAATGAAAAACTTAAATGAATCTGATCTTTGACTTTCATTTTTTGGATTCTGTTTTTGTGAGTTCATTGCAATTGCAAGTGTCTTGTAATCCGGAACTAGACTTTTCTTGTAAGCAACTTTTCCTAAAACTCTGTAAAAAGTGATCTTGCTTTTTTGTTGAATCCTTCTATCAGGATATTGAAACTACTATCACGGTCCTTGCCACTTGACTTAGAAGGAAAACGGTTGCCTATACACACTAGGTCTGGGGTTTGAATTGTGACATCTTGATGAGTTTATCGTTTTAAAATTCGAATCAGTGTCTGATTTGAAAAATGTGTCTTTTGCAAACCTGAATACATCTAACTCATATCGGTTTGCTCTACAATCAAGCTCTTCGGAATTGCACGGATACAGCTTTTCGGGTTGGTATTCTGATAAAAAGCTTTCTGTGAAGTCTTGCTTTTTGACTCATTTTGATCTTCCCTAATGTGCTGGATTGAATAGACAGGATAAAATTTTTGTGTTTTTATCAAGGTTTTGATATCGTAAAGAAAGCAACCAAAAAATATGTGCTGTTTAGCATTTATTTCGACATGCTGAAAATTAGATAATTGATTTCGATAGTTCTCTCATCACACCACGCACGAAAAATGACACTATAAGTAAAGAAAAATGTGGTCGGAATCTTCTGTGCTGCTTGCAAAACAACCGGCTATCCTTTGTTAATGTAAACTTCTATTAAAGTTTCATTTTCTTATGCTAAATAGAAGGCAAATTTTGGTCTCCTAAAATGAAATCCGAAACTTTGCGAAAAACGTGAACGAAGTTTCGAATTTCTCTTTGTTTCTTAACTTAATTATACTTTTTTACGCGTCTGGGTTTTTAACGAATGAGATCGTGTTATTAAATATCACGATGCTTGAAACATGGTTGAGTTTAACTTTTTAAGCTGATGTATTTTTGATGGGCTGATGAATATAAATCATGTCTCCGATGATTGTCAGTAAACAATTACTTTTGTATGTTTTTTTTGAAGCTAATAAGCTTATTTGTTGATGAATTATTGATTCAAAATACGCAAACAAATTGAACAACAACTATGATGCTTTTTTGAGACCTACTTAAGTTGTAATACGAGTTAATAGTTCAGCTAAATGTCAGTTTTTTTGTCCTCGAATTTTAACATCACAATTTCAAATTCTATCACAATCATAGTCGCTCTCAATGTGTATATGAACCGGGTCACTCATATTCAAACTTCAGTATGTATGTATATCAAAACCAGTGATTTGATCTTTTTTTGCTTTTGAATTATGATAAAATATAATGGGAGATGAAATGCTAAGAGTACAAAGAAGTGTGGGAAGACTGAGTTGCTTCAAGCGCTTTTCCATTAACACCGCCACACCCGTTTCCTGCTTTATTCTAGTTTCAGTCTGTGTTTTGTTTCTTACTGTTACCAGTACTGACATTGTGTTCAATCCGTGATGTTCAATTTCGCTTCCTGTTTAAATTATTCTGTGCTACTGTTGTTATTATTTTTTTACTGACGTGTGTAACTGTTACCAGAATTGAAAAACTCATCTTCAGAATTTACACTAGACTTTTCTTTGCGGCCAATTCCAAAAGGATCTGAACTGGTCAAACTTAGTGGCGCTCACATCGGAAATTCAAGAAGTAATCGCACGTCTATTGATTCCATGACTCACTAAATTGTTTTTTTTTTCACTCTTCTTTGATAGAACCTAAAATTGTCTACGAAATACGAAATCCAAAAATTATAACACTGCTTCGTCTACCGATACCAATCATGCACTGATGGATTTCAATTCCTCTCCCGCTCAATCTGATAAGAAATTAGCAGACAGTATAAACGTCAACCTGCCAATTTCCACACCTAGCTATGAACATGAAGTGGAATCTATGCCACGAAGCGGTCTGTCCTCTTTTCTGCAATTCAGCAACAGAAGGGACTCCTCTGATGTCATCAGGTCTCAGATCGAGTCTCTTCAGCTGTTGGAGCTGACAGTTGACTTGGCCACTGAAAAAGGAAAAAGAGGCATAGGCAGTTCCAAGGCCAAAAAGGGGGCATACGATGTGAGTGCAATTTAGCGCATCAGACGATTTCAAGCAATCATAAGAGAAGTTGAAAGAGATAGCGGTTTTTTTTGGACTCCAAAAATATATCTCCGAAAAGTCCTCTCGGTGTGGAGGAAATTAATATGAAGTTTCCGTGTTCCAGAATGATCAAAGCGGAAGTGAAGTTTTTTTCCAACAGGCTGCTAGCTTTCTGTAGTTTACCCACCGGAAGCAGAAATTTCCTACTTCTTTAATTATGCTAGTTTTACGAAAAAATGCTGATCATGAAATATTCAGAGTCCAATCTGGACAATATACAGTCACGGGATATAGAAGTTGCAATTTTTAGTTTTCAAGCGATGAAATGAACAAACCTTTTATCGTGTTAGTGCTTTTTTCTACAACTACTAAGATTCATAGTTGAAACTTTGTCATATGATGGATGGAAGGGTTTTTTTGCCCGATAAAAACCGTAAAATTATTGTGGAGGTGTCGTTAAGCCATTTAATCAGAGGCGTCGGTTTTGTTATTGCCAGTAAGTCTCAGTAAACAGCTGAATCAGTTCGATTTTTTTTCCACTTATAAAAATATTTGTTGCAAATCTAAGGATCTAAACTATTTTTTCAGATCTCATAAAATGATTTAAAATTTTATTTAACTCGTAGACAGATATTTGAAAATTCAGCATTTTGTTTAGTAAAATGTCAAAATCTGAGTCAAATTTTATTTCGTTGCTCAGTAATTTATGTACTTCTTATAAAGTAAGGAAAAGCCTATATATGGGCCTATTTTTGATCCTTAGCTTTCCAGCGAATACCTTAAGTGTAACAATGCAAACTGATTCTACTGTTCACGGGAAATTTTGGCAATAAAAACACGTTTCCGTTTGTAAAATTCGCCCGGAAGTACATATCGAAGGAAAATAAAGCTAAGCTATAAAACGTCTGGCCAGCGTCTAAACTAAGCTCTACATGCTTTTCACCGTCTCTACCAAAGCCAGTTCTTTTGGTGGTCTTTCTAACATCGGGTCGACAAAAACGTTACTGTTCTCCGGCTTCGAGCAGAACGCTCAAATTAACTTAATTTCATGCAAAATAGTGAGCTCATGGCTGGTTCTCAGTATCCCCAGACCACGAGGTCACTCCTGAAAACAGGGCTACTACTATTTATTATATTACTATTGTTTTTGTTCAGTAGATGAAAATCATCATCTCCATCGAAGATGGATCAACCCTTTCCCTTAACTTCTAGCTTCTCATCGTCAGAAAATGAATCCAGATGTTAATTAAATTCATTTCAGGACATAATAGGGAAGCTAAAAATTTATATAAAATGATTTCAGTTTGAGTCCCGAGACCCCTCCGGATTCCTGAATCCGGGGAAATAACACCCTTATCTTCTTTCCGGAAGGCTGTTTTTCTACCCTTCACCGTTGTTGTGAACGGCCTTGCAACGATTGTAGCGACACAATCGTTGCAACTCGGAGCGGTCTCTGCTAGCTCTGCTGTTCGTTCATTTTTCGTTGACTGATTTTGACGTTTCAAAATAGCTGATTCTGACGTTTCTCAGAAATATGACGTCATCGTTCGAAATTTTAAAAATTTAAAATACCAGAATATTCTAGCCTTCACAGTTTGACTAATCGTTCCAATAACACTGTTAATCCTTCAAAACTGCTAATTCGGAAGGTTAGCGGCTAATAATTCGAAATTGCCGAATTGGCATTTTCGTCCATTCTGTTCGAATGTCAGAGTTGCTCTCTGATTAAATGGCTTAACGACGCCTTGAAAATCGTTTTTAAGGTTTTTTCCTCTATTTTATTCCAAACAGGCCTGCCAACTAGTTCATACTGTTTGAATTAGTTCATATGGTTCATATTTGTTTCATATTTGAGCCAGAGTTCATATTTCATGTTTTTAATTGTTTTTAGTGAGTTACACATAGTGCATCTATTTTATATAAGTTTTTTATACCCTCTTTTTTTCAAAAGTTGATTTTTTTCAGAGAATAGGAAAATGGACTGTGTCATCAGCTCTACTCGAGGGGTTTTCTTGGGCCAAAGCAGAGAACCAGGACCAAGTCCGATGCAAATTGGATAATCGCGTTTTTCGGATTTCACATGGGCGATTCGATCTAAAGCAACATGAAGAGACTCAGCTCCACAAGAAAGCGGTAACTGCGCGCACTGCAACTTCCGACATTAGGACAGCAACATCTTCTCAAACTGATTGCCAGCGATTGAGAGCCCTTATTATTCATGTTCTTGATATTGTAGTGAACGGCCAGTCTTTCGCTTCCAGTGATTCGGCATCTAGTGCTCGCGGGAAGTACAAACAAATGTTTCCCGATTGGGGCCACGCTAATATTAAATGTGGAAAGACGGAAGCAACCTATGTGCCAGTTCACAGAATAGCCCCATACGCCCGTACTATTTTGAAAAATGAAGTCAAAGACAAGTTCGTCGGTATTCATCTTGACGAAAAATCTTATAATGGTACAACAAGGGTTGAACTCTGGGTTGTTTGCTATGCGGACGGTGTTCGAAAAAATTGATATTTGAGGACCATTGAACTAAATGTCAATGTTGATACTGACTCTTTTGTGTCTACAAATACCAAATCGCTTTCTGATTTCAAGCTCGTGTCATCGCAGAATATATTTCATGCAACTATTGATGCTCTCGGATTTTCCGACGTTCCACTTCACAAGTGCTATACGCAATGACTGATAACTGTAGTACGATGATTGGTAAGGACACGGGATTCTTAACTCGTATGCAGGATGCGTGTGTTGCATTGATTTGGCTTCCGGGCTGCAGTTCTCATCAGGCAAATCTTGTTCACAAGGAAGATGTTAATTCATCATAAGAGTTTACGAAAATGATTAAGTTTGCAGAAGGATTTTCAGCTTTTGTTTCTTCTTCTCTGAAAGCCAGATCACTTCTTCAACAGGTACAAGAAGTAAGCTACCGATCTTTACAAGAAAAACAGTAGCGGAGTTGTTGTGCCCATGGTATTCTCGCCTGTGAACAAAAAACTTTTCTGTTCAAATGTTCCTATAGTTCAGTCGGCTCTGTATTCGCTTGAAAAGCATGTAGAACAGTCCACAATTGTATCATGGGACAAACAAATTGCTTTGCAGTTACAAGTTTTGCTCAAAAGGTTTCAACCTTTCCTTGTCAGCCCTCTGACTAAGAATTGTCATATTGTTTTCATGTAGCTTTCGGAGATTGAATCTCCTACCAAAATTGCCCGATTGGCTAATTTTTTCGGCCCAGTGAGTGTGGATGTCCTAGACGAGTTTGCTGCTGCGAAGCTGTGTATGAATGGAAACTTATCCTTGCGGGAGTGCTTCGAGAAATCACTGTTGTAACAGTGGAAGTCTTTGGGATCTTTATGTGAGTTTGTGTTGCCAGTTTGCCCACATAACATGAACACAGAATCAGGGTTCTCGCGCATGAAGTTCGCTGAGAGTCAACACCAGAACTGTTTTTTGCCAGAAACATACGACAGTGTGCTTATAATTCAGGAAGTCTTTAGCCGTGACGATTTCGAAAAGGCGTTCAATTTTCCAGCTGAGTTATGTGACACAGTTCGCCAAGCAGCTTCTGAATATAAGAAATCCACGGAGTCGAAAGTAGTAGAAAATTCACGGAAAAGAGGGCATGCTGAAGTTTTGCGAGTGGAACTGCATGTGTTCAAGCGAATGACTCCTTTAGCTCTCAAGAACCAGCTGAACGAAGTTGATTCTAGCATTGACGAGGCTAAAAAAGCTCTTGAAGCTCTTGAGAAGAAGAAGAAACTGCTCCATATCCAACGAACTATTTCTGTGGTCACATTGGATCAACAGTCTGCAGTTGTCACTGAATCAACATTTGTCAAGAAATCAATGGTTTAATTGAGCATGTTTTTCTGAAAGTTAGAAAATGCTCTTTTAGGTTCATATAAAGTTCGTTTTTCAAGGTTTGGTCCCAGGTTCATATTTCGCTTTATAAAAGTTAGCAGGCCTGATTCCAAAACACTGTGAATCTCTACTAGGTGTATAGTAAAAGGCGCAAACTCGATAACTTTTGCTCATTTCTCATCGCCTAAAAATTAAAAGTTGCAACTGCTTTGTCCCGTGATTGTATATTCAAACTTCATGAATCAATTTTGTGCGACTTCATCGCAAATCTGATTCAGATTAATCCGATTTACACCTGATCTTCTTGCCATCTCATTGGTTTTGAAAGCTATTTGATTTGATGCTTATCGATAATGCGAGAATCAAATTGAAGTCCAACAGTCGCCGAAGTTTCAGCGCCTGAAACAATTGCCAGTGATTAAGAGTCGATGAACGTAGTTCAGACTCTTATATAGCTCGCGATGTTTTTTTCAGGAGAAGTTAAAATTTGTCCAGGCTCAAAGCCATTTTTTCTAAAGTTAATTTTATTTCCTTTGTTAAAAGTGAATGCAAACTCCAATATCGAGAAACAAAGTGTAAAAGTCCCGAAAAACGTGATCGACTTCTGGTTTCGAGAGTGGAGTTTAATTTTCAGATTTCCCAGCGATAAAAGTTATTTATCGGTCCAGTTTTCTCAAATTGGGTTAGTTTTTATCAAAAAAAGGGTCAATCCTTAATTGTTTTAGAATTTCAAAGAGATTTAAGGGCATTTTTGTTTTTTGAAATTCGAAAGTTGAGATTTTTTCAAAAAAAAACTAGTCTGTAGTTTTTTTTTAGTGTAATTGCATTCATTGACTCTTTTCCAACTGTGTGTTGGCTATGTTTTTGATTTTTTTAAGTGTGCTTTTGTCAATGAAGTGTTTGCGTTTAATTTTCAAAGCCACATCGAAACAAAAATATATTTTTTCTATTGATGACGCTTTTACTAGACGCCTTATGGTCAGTGGACTGTTTGTTAAACTCTTTCATGTCATAATTTCAAAAAATATGCAATTGCCGATCACAAAAATCAATTTTATCAAGAGTTATGATATTTGCCTTCTCTGCTATTACATATTTTATGATGATTTAGCAACTACTGCTTTAATTGAGTCTTTTTTTGTGGTGTCGTTAACATGCTTGAGAATAGGAAAACCCTCAAGGTCAGTTGTTTTGATGTGTTCGAGCCTTCACTTATTATAAGTATAATAACCTTTTTCAGCTATTTTGAATTGTTCATTGATTGTACACGAAATTTTCTGTTTTTTATTATATTTGAGTATTTCTTTTAATACAACTTAAGCTTGTACGCGGTTTTTATCTGGTGTTATGCATACCTACCACTCTTTAATAGTCACAATTAACGCAAGTCTTCCGCGATAGACCATATGACAGTAACTTTGTAATGAATTTCTTTTGAGTTCTGATTCATGCTACTAGCTGTTATTGATATTTCGCCTTGTCAATCCCTTAGAAGCGATCCTCTAAATGTAATTTCTGCAACCATATCTATGTTTTTTGTGCAGATCCAAGATGCTATTAAAAATGGCCAGCGAGGCGCAGGAGGCATTGACAGTGAGACAGGAATTGAGTTGTATCGGATTCTGGACGAGGAGAACATACAGGCAGTGCTCAAAGCCCACGACCAGCTGGCGGCAAACAACAGCAGAGCGGCTGCCGGAGCAATAAGACAGCAGTTTGCAGATGAACAACATGGTCGTCCTGTCGTGACTTCATTCGCTGCTGCTAACAGTAACGGACACTTAACTCCAAGACAGGTAAGAAGCCGAATGCGACGCTGTCAATGCTAAATAGTTTTTAATTTTAAAGCAAATAAATTAGATTAGCGGTATTGTCTCAAAGGGAAGGTCGACATATTTGAGATTAATTTTCTATTTTTTTTTTTCAAATGAAATCCGAATTGCACCTGGTTGAAAACCAACAAATACATGATTTTGATTCATTAATGACAAAAATAAAACCCCTTTTAATTGGAAAGTTGTCTCAAAATGCTACATGAAGCATCTATTTTTTTCAATCAATACATCATGTTTTGGCAATTGTAGGAGAAATCACTGCTGTCATTGCGCGCCTTCTCTGTGAATGGAGGAGGCAGTGGTGTCAATGGACCCCCCACTGAGAGCAGTTTGATGAGTGGGAGTGAGCCTCCCCCTGAGGTAGTGGACAGAGGAGAGATGCGCTTGGTGATTCTACAGAAGAGCGATCACCCTCTAGGCGCCACTATACTTAAAGACGGAGATCTCATCCGTATAGGCAGAGTGGTCAAGGGCGGTGTCATCGAGACCTCAGGTAGGCGACCCAATAAATTCTTCAGTAACTTAATAACGACTCAACAGCTTCTCTCTAATGTCAATATCTTGTATACCAGATTTACACAAGTGCAGTTTCCGATTCATACGTCAGTGTGTTTTGTATGCGTGGGCTTTTCAGATTGATGCTCGGATTTAGATAATGTGAATGAGGTTAATTAAGAAGCTTGACTCAAAGTTTTCTTAGAATTGGATCCATTTAACCAGCCAGAGGCCGAAGGTCATCTAAGCTATGTCTAGCTTAAAGAGATCACCTTATAAATTGCAGCGCACTTTGTTTTGAACCAGCAGTCATATGATTGCTGGGCACCATGACTACCGATGCGCCAGAACGCCATTTACGGTGATCGGCGAAGCAACTGTGTTTTTATGCAGTTCCTGATTTTTATTCGTCTTTAAGTAATCTGAAGGCAGTTTTGAAGCCGCTAATTTTAGTGCCTTTGAATTGATGCGAAGTTACGATTCGCCTCTGCATAAAGCTTAAGTTCCACTACGTTTCTGTCGGCGATGATAAAATAGCTGATTGAATGATGTTGACAGGTGTGATGAAGGAGGGCGATGAATTGGTGAAGATCAACGACATTGAGTTGAGCAGGATGAGTATAGACGACGTGTGTGACCTGCTGGCCTCTCTGACAGGCAGAGTCCACTTCCTCCTCAGACCCAAACACACCACCCACACTAAAAACGGAGTTGGAGGTGGCAATCCGGGATCACCAATGGACACTTTGGAGATGCTGAAGGCGTCTAGAACTGACACGGCTACGTCCATATTCGACGAACAAGTGGTCAGTACTCCGGGTTTTTTAAAGGTCAATGAACAAAATGAAGACCCGCATTTAGGTTTCGTTTTTTTTTCAGGGTTAGTTTTATCCAAAATAGTGAAAATCCATAATTATTCTGAAAATTAAAGGAGCTTTAAGGCCATTTATGTTTTTCTAATGCTTCAAAATTGTTTTTTTTTGTATTTTTCCTGTTTTCTAAGCACAATTTTAAGTGCACTTAGAGTTGCGTGTCATCGAGTTTTTGCAATTAGCAAGCGTTATTTAATCGGAATGGAGCCTTTTTTCGGGTTAACAACTAGTTTAACAAAATCAGTTGAATCACTTATGATGCTGCTAAAAATCATAATGCTGCTATGCTGACATGCTCAATTTCATGAAATTTCAACTTTAACTATTGTGGGTACTTATTACTACTGGGTAGTTTCAGGGGACTTGAAACTTTTTAAAGTTTTTACAAAGTCAGTTTTTTTTCGTCTCAACTGTTGTCTGCTGAAAGATATTCGGCCTTGTTTCCGCTTCTTAAGTTTTCATTTGCTAATTTGAGTTTGAATGGTCTTGCTTCGCATTTTGCCTAGAATTCGTGTTTGATACGTGTAAGGGATTGGGTTTTTTTTGAGACGCTTTGCAACCTTTCCACCAATTTTCAACAAAGGGTATCCACACAAAGACCACCTGCATTCTTGTGTGCCTGCATAGTCCCATGGTCTTTTTTTGCCTTACCCCTTGGTCTACAGTCTTCGAAAAAGTCTGAGGGGGAATATTTTACCGATATTTTTGATTTTTCGTTTCTGAAAACTTTTGACGTTTCTCGAGAACTACACTGCCAAACCTGGGTTTATGGATTCACGCGAAGTTTAAGAATTTGTGAATCTCTTCTGCATAAGCGGCTACACCCAGTTTTTTTTTAAAAAAACGACGATTCTCGGAAATGTCAACTTTCTAATTTGTTGACTGTTTTTTTTGCATTTTTTTCAATAACTATTTCGCCAAATAAGATATCGTAAATTACACTAGTTTGTTTACACTAGGTTAATCTTAGTGTGTTGTTACGAACCTTCTTTTTTAAACCTTACTCGCAAATAAAATTGTGCATTAAAAATGTTCACTTATTTGGAAATTTCACTGTAGCATTGGAAATTGCACAGCATCTCTTCTTTGCTTTATTTGTGACTAGTGTTCGGCTATTTCCTTTAAAGCTTCTGTGGCTGTTTGGTTTGGGTGTGCGACACTTAATCTCTAGGTCGCAGGTTCGAAGCTTCGACCTAGCCGATTTTTTGGCCAATTCGCTGCTAACTTTTGCTTTTTCATATTGCACTTTATAGAGCTGCTTTTTGTCGTATTGCCGCTAGTGTTTGCGAAGCGAAGATTTGCCTCTGTGTGGAAGTTTTGCTTCATAATTAGCTGCGCCCAGTTTTTTCTGAAAAAAAATATGGCCTTCAAACCAGTGAAAGTTTTGAAACTGACCGTTTTTTGGAAACTTTTTGACTCCACACGAAAATTACCGTGCCAGTTCTCAGGTCAAGTGTTCAATCGGAAAACCCGGTTATGGTTATCTTCTCTGCTAAAGCGGTCTCTTCATATATTTAGCAGAAAAAAATTTTGGATTTCGAAAAGTGAATTTTTTAAACTTTTGACCGTTTGTTAGAAACTTCGATGAAACAGTTTGTCTTTTCTTACAAATACCCTATCATATCTGAAATAAAGGATTCAGTCGAAAGAACCAGTTGCAAGATTTTTCCTACATAAGCGGCCTTTCCTTATTTTTTTTTGTAAATTTCCTAAAAATTTTTGTTCACTCTTCTGTCCTTTTAAAGGTTACCTATTGATCTTGTTTTCTCATCAAATTGGGCTATTTTTTGATCAAAAAAGGATCTATTCAAAATTTTTCTTGAAATACGAAACGCTTTAAGGCCATGTATTTTTTGTTCGTAACGCATAAGTCAAAAATTTTTCAAAATAGAATCATTTATTTTGAGTTTCGTTTAGCTTATTGACATTTTTCCAGTTAATATAACGAATATAACCATTGACAGTTAATATACCGACTATTGGTTATATTATTGCGTCAGTGCTGAGAAATAGGGGTGCTTAATTTGAAGCGAATGTAACATAAAAAGCAACATTGGTTTCTGCTCGCTGGGTGACGTAACAATTCTTAATCCAGAAAGTTAAAAAAATGCTTTTTGATTGTAAGACACAACAGCGGTTCTGGGTAAAGAGCATAGCAGCTCCTAGGTTGGTCTTTTGTTGATCTTCTCCCAAGTGAATAAAAGGTTTCAGAAATGAAGGGATTTTGGCTGTGCGATTGTAGGAGGATCAAATACAACAAATTGGTAGGATAGAAATAGTGTTCTTTTCTGAGCACTCGACTGACAGTGGTCACTTGGACCTGTTGCCACTGCGAACTACCACCCAGTACGCCAGGTGGCCGAGGGTTTTCCACTTCCAGGTAGCATAAACAAGAGATAAACCCAACCGCTAACCCAAAAATAAACAGTCAATCAGTTTTCCCAAATAACCACGAACACCTGAAATGCTAGAAACGAACCCTTGAAATTGTTTTGAGCTGAGTTGAATCGCTCTTGAGTTATTCAAATTAAATTTCACGGTGAGTTATCATACCGACTGTTTTAATTGCACAGAATTTGTTTTTGCTTGTCGAATTGCGCATTGTTTACACTAGGTTAATCTTAGTGTGTTGTTACGAACCTTCTTTTTTAAACCTTACTCGCAAATAAAATTGTGCATTAAAAATGTTCACTTATTTGGAAATTTCACTGTAGCATTGGAAATTGCACAGCATCTCTTCTTTGCTTTATTTGTGACTAGTGTTCGGCTATTTCCTTTAAAGCTTCTGTGGCTGTTTGGTTTGGGTGTGCGACACTTAATCTCTAGGTCGCAGGTTCGAAGCTTCGACCTAGCCGATTTTTTGGCCAATTCGCTGCTAACTTTTGCTTTTTCATATTGCACTTTATAGAGCTGCTTTTTGTCGTATTGCCGCTAGTGTTTGCGAAGCGAAGATTTGCCTCTGTGTGGAAGTTTTGCTTCATAATTAGCTGCGCCCAGTTTTTTCTGAAAAAAAATATGGCCTTCAAACCAGTGAAAGTTTTGAAACTGACCGTTTTTTGGAAACTTTTTGACTCCACACGAAAATTACCGTGCCAGTTCTCAGGTCAAGTGTTCAATCGGAAAACCCGGTTATGGTTATCTTCTCTGCTAAAGCGGTCTCTTCATATATTTAGCAGAAAAAAGTTTTGGATTTCGAAAAGTGAATTTTTTAAACTTTTGACCGTTTGTTAGAAACTTCGATGAAACAGTTTGTCTTTTCTTACAAATACCCTATCATATCTGAAATAAAGGATTCAGTCGAAAGAACCAGTTGCAAGATTTTTCCTACATAAGCGGCCTTTCCTTATTTTTTTTTGTAAATTTCCTAAAAATTTTTGTTCACTCTTCTGTCCTTTTAAAGGTTACCTATTGATCTTGTTTTCTCATCAAATTGGGCTATTTTTTGATCAAAAAAGGATCTATTCAAAATTTTTCTTGAAATACGAAACGCTTTAAGGCCATGTATTTTTTGTTCGTAACGCATAAGTCAAAAATTTTTCAAAATAGAATCATTTATTTTGAGTTTCGTTTAGCTTATTGACATTTTTCCAGTTAATATAACGAATATAACCATTGACAGTTAATATACCGACTATTGGTTATATTATTGCGTCAGTGCTGAGAAATAGGGGTGCTTAATTTGAAGCGAATGTAACATAAAAAGCAACATTGGTTTCTGCTCGCTGGGTGACGTAACAATTCTTAATCCAGAAAGTTAAAAAAATGCTTTTTGATTGTAAGACACAACAGCGGTTCTGGGTAAAGAGCATAGCAGCTCCTAGGTTGGTCTTTTGTTGATCTTCTCCCAAGTGAATAAAAGGTTTCAGAAATGAAGGGATTTTGGCTGTGCGATTGTAGGAGGATCAAATACAACAAATTGGTAGGATAGAAATAGTGTTCTTTTCTGAGCACTCGACTGACAGTGGTCACTTGGACCTGTTGCCACTGCGAACTACCACCCAGTACGCCAGGTGGCCGAGGGTTTTCCACTTCCAGGTAGCATAAACAAGAGATAAACCCAACCGCTAACCCAAAAATAAACAGTCAATCAGTTTTCCCAAATAACCACGAACACCTGAAATGCTAGAAACGAACCCTTGAAATTGTTTTGAGCTGAGTTGAATCGCTCTTGAGTTATTCAAATTAAATTTCACGGTGAGTTATCATACCGACTGTTTTAATTGCACAGAATTTGTTTTTGCTTGTCGAATTGCGCATTGTTTATACGAGAAACAATTATTGAGTCACTGATTGTTATAAATTTCATAAGACTGTCGGTAAATTTCATAAGAGTGTATCTGAAATCTGGAAAAATAGTGCAAGCCTCGGGAAAAATAGTGCAAGCATCGGGAAAATTGTGTTACGGTACAAATTGCAAAAAATAGTTCCCAGTCTAAATCGCATAATTTGGTAAGAAGCTTTTTTCATGCAATGTGGCTCAATCATACTGTGCAAACTGCTTTTTGGACTTAGACTTGAGGCTAAATTATTTATTTATAAGTTTTGATCTTTACACTATTGGATGTTTCTGAAACCCAAATACATCTTGACTCAGTCGTCCATAAGGATCGTATGAGTGACGCCTTGAATCTAAATCTGTACAAATATTTAGGTTAACTTTTAAACTAGCTTTTAGCGATTCGTTAAACATTGACACGTGCATCTTTGCCCTTCAAAAATTACCAAAATTTTTATAGACGAGTTTTGGCATTTAGTTCTGAGCAGTGTCGATGTTTATGTTGTTTCAGCTTCACGTGCGGGCGTTGTTCGACTTCGACCCGGAAGATGACGAGTATGTTCCGTGCAGGGAATTGGGCATTCCTTTCGACAGAGGCACAGTGTTACATGTGATGAACACCCAGGATGCAAACTGGTGGCAGGCGTTCCCAGATCACGTGATAGGTCTCTCTGCTGCAGGAGGGGCGACAGGAACGGACAGTGAAAGTGCAATGACGGGATCTCTTTTGGCGATCCAGAGCCAAAACTCACTCGCGGGTCTCATTCCATCTCACAAGTTCTGGAAAAAGTCAGTGGATGAGTTATTGATAACCATTATAGAAAAAGTTCTGATAGACGGAATGAAATAGAGCAAATTTCATATTTCAGAATTTTGTATGGAATCATTACTATGACAGCTTTCTTTCAGATATCATTTGTTTCTAAAGGTCGCCATTTCAAGTTTGCATGTAAAAATCTTTAAAAAAGATAACAGATTGCTCTTTGCTTATTTAGTTTATCCGAACTTTTTATAACTTATTATAAATATATCAAGGTCATATTTGCTGTATTTTTGGTCTTCAAAATTTTTCAACAATTTTTTAAACTGAATATCTGGGCTGCCGTTTTGGTCATAAAATTATTTCAATAATTTTATCTGCTGAAAATTGAAGTTTTTTGCGATGATAGCTATTTTGCTTCTCTATAAGTTCATTAAATCATTAACGTTAACGGACCTTGACATGATTTGAATTTTTTTCAAGAAGAGAAGCGCTGCGACTGATGATAGAGACTACAAACCAGCACCACGAGTCCATGAACGAATCTAGTTCCAGAAGAGGGGGTGGTGCATTGTGCTGCGGGTCAGGGGCGAGGGGGAGGAGGGGTAACAATAGAGTGGAGAGTAGATTGGGCGGGGGACCTCAAGTGAACCCTAGTGCCATTCAAGTGCTCAGCTACGAAGAGGTGAGTAGCACGTAGATCACCTGTTTGAAAGTCGGTGTATACAAAACAAATATTAGGGCTAGTATCAGTTCTTGTCAAGTAAAGTCGTAGCCGTTATGAAAAGAAATTTCCTAGCGATCGTTCTTCCGATTGAACCTCAAAGTTTATTCGCTCAAAATACCCTGCCAAAAATAAGATAAATGGTTCAATCGGAAGAACGTGCGCTAGGAAGTTTCTTTTCATAACGGCTACGAACATAATGTTGTTGAAAAAGTATGTTAGACGTTTGTTTGTTTGGATTTTTTGAGTTTCCCCGAAATTTGAACACTGCGGTTATATTTCTGAGATTGAGTTTCAATTCAAAAACTTATCATCAGGGGCGGATCTAGGATTTTCTCGAGGGGGGGGGGGTGGCGGATTTTCAAAAAAATTTCGAAAAATTTGTCGACCTTTTCTTTTTTTTAGGTCGACTAAATTGATTTTCCGAGCTCTCCTAAAGCACTAAAAAGACCCTGTTTTGGTCGAAATTTCTGCGCCGCAGGCAAAATTTTTGAAAAACAGACCAAAAAAGGCGTTTTTCGGCATTTTTTGGAAAATTGTGATTAAAAAATCGCGTTTTTTCGGCGCGCGCTCCGCACTCAAAATTAGTATATATTGGTCGGCGCCTTTAGAAAAATTTTAGGGCCGATCGGCCAAAAATCTATTTCTTAAAAAGTGCCAAAGGGGGGATCCTTTGGGTCGGCTGGGGGTCGAATCCCTGAGGGGGGAACGTCCGTTCCCCCCCCCCTAAATCCGCCCCTGCTTATCATCAATCAAAATAGCTCAAGTTGAATGAATTAGGAAGTGATGTTTATGTTGTTCAGTTGAAATGTGATCATAGAATTTTCGGAATAAAATTTGTAAATTTTTATTATTAGGTGGGGCTGTACCGCCCAGAGACTGGAGTTCCTCGACCTGTGGTGCTGGTCGGTCCCTCCAAGATAGGCAGACTGGATCTAAGACAGAGACTAGTGTCCAAACAACCACACGCATTCGCTGCCGCAGTGCCACGTATGTTAAAGAGTCGTTGAACGTAGTTCCAACTTTTACATAAGGTCGTGATGATTTTTTTTCAGGAAAAGTTTTGAAACTTGATCAGGCTCAAATTTACATTTTCTCAAATTGAGTTAATTTTTCTTTGTAACTCATAATCAGTAGTTTTTTCTGCGTCCAGTTGTTTGTTTATTAACATTTTTCTAACTGAGTTGGCTATCTTTTGCTATTCAGACTCAAATTTATTGAAGTGTGAATGAAATCATTCACTTCTTTTGGAGACGTGCTTAGTTTGACGATGAGTTTAATATCTATTTTCAAAAATATGAGTATGATGATTAAATTTTACGGGCATAATGTAGTCTGCAGCCTTATTGCTTTGAAAAACATCAAACCTTTCCGATAATTTAATTAGATTTAGAAACAATTAATTTCTGTTTTTTGAGCCAATATATGTGGTCGGAGCACTAATAACTGTCAATGAACGTATTGCAGATGCTTATATAGGTCCTGTTGATGTTTTGCCGGGAACGATTTTAAATTTTGATTGCGCTCAATTTTGATTTTTGGTGGTTTGATTTTGTGCAAATAGAGCAAAAAACGTGAGCGATTTTTTGCTTAGAAATTGGATTTTAGTTTTTAGATTTTTTGTACCGGGATAAAACTGCCTATTGATCCAGTTTTACTAAAGTTGGGCTAGTTATTCGAGAGAGGTAATCACATAATTTGGTTTCTTCGAAATTTGTAAATTTCAAAAAATGCACTCATTTCATTGTTTCTCTTAGTTCAATGATACATTGACAATTTTCTGTTGCCTTTAGTTTTCCATCAAATAGGTGTCATTCATGAAAATATCTTGATGTAAATTATTTGTCTATGGAAACTCGAAATTTGACAATAATTCACTTGGTAGGTTTTTTTTAGTTCGTTAACGCTTCTCAACTGCATTTTGTCAATATTATGCTTTGAGAATTTGATAACAAGAGTAGCCAGTTGCTGTGTAAGTGTCAAGGAGAATTTTTGACCACATTAATCATAGCAAAATTTTATTTATTTCTTTTGCCCAAATTTTTACCCTTTCAGAGGGCGAGGATTGAAAGTAAGCTTGGTAGTGAGATCATATTTGCTAGAATAATGCAAAAAAAGATTGTTGAATCAGATTGAGACTTCTCAGAGATTAAAATTAATTGACGACGCAGGTTTAATCCAGTCTGTAAGAAACTTAGAAGTACAATATTCCTACCACGGTAGTTATTGCAAAAAATATTCTAAAATTTGTGTCTTTTTCTGGTTTTGTAGCCTTGAATTGAATTTAACTTCCATTGGATAATTTAGTCTGAAAATATGAAATATTTTGACTGCTTTTTATCAACACTGATCGGCAGAATTTTCGATCTTCATTCCTGATTTGGCATGAGTTAAAAACATCCTAGGCTATAGTTCCGTTCCAGCCCTGCTCGTCGTAATAGAAATATTTAGACCCGTTCTTTTGACACAGACTTTTTCGATAGTTATGTTTTTCTGCCGATCTGAATTACGACTGAATGAGCTTTAGTAACATACCAAAATTGTTCTCCTTCGAGCTTTATTTGAGGACAAGTGAAAAACTATGTACGCTATGTTTTTTGTGCCTTACTTTGACAAAGGTTGGATCAATTATGAGCCGAGTGTTGTCTCGCTCAAAGCGAAAGCGGTAACAAAAGCGGCTGGTCAATGAGTATAAGCAATAACACAAGCAGAAAAGCGGTTTGATATTTCTAATCCCCTCAAGTTTACCGAAAAAGATGGCAGGTAATTTTTCTGATTTGAAGTCGATGTCTGTATTCGAACAATTGCTGAAAACTATTTCGATCGCTCAAATGGTCTGAAAACCCAGTCATATAAATTTCACTGCTCGTAATTCATAAAAATGTTTTTTCAGCTCTTCTTCATTGTAAAGAAACTTTCCATAGTGAAATTTGTGGAAAATTTTTAAGCGAATAAGCGGGACACTTAAATAAGCGAATCTGCGAAGAGCGATTTTAAAAAAGCTGCGATAAAAAAATGATTTTAAAAAGTGATGACAATACTCTGATTATGAGCCATGATTTGCTTCAAACCCTGTATTTGTAAAATCATAATTAAAAGACGGCGTGAACAATCTTCCGGGATTTTTTTTAAATGTAGTCATTGAAAGGTGTAGTTTGTCGACTTAATCAGATGCATTTAAATTTTGTATAGTTTTGTAAGCGACGAAAATGATAAATCCGGTCAATGATAGAAGTTTGACGAATTGCAATGGCTTTTTGAAATACTTGTTTGTATTGCAATATTTTGATATTATTGCAGACACCACCAGGGCGCCTAAGCCGAGTGAGCGGGACGGAGTTGACTACCATTTTGTGAACAAACAAGTATTCAGGGCCAAGTTGGATGAGGGAGAGATACTGGACCACTATGAGGTGGAACGACATCTGTACGGCACCTCAGTCTCTGCCATCAGGACAGTTGCCAGAAACAACAAAGCCTGCATGCTCTGTCTACACCCAAAGGTAGCTTACTACTCAATGTTTACACAAGCAATGCTTGTGTTATTGTATGTACTATCTTTTTTTCCAACCTAAGTCGTAAGTATTGTTGCGATAAAGTGTTCTTTTTAAAAGTGTTCATTTTGATCAACAAGACTGCTCGTATATCAGGGCAAAGCCCTGAATGTTCAGACTGTCCCTTAATTCATCGAATAGTTTCTAGGAAAAGAAAATATTGAAAACCTATAAACTTTGGACAATATCAAAGTGTAAATTAGATCACCAATTAGCTAGTCTCAGTTCAATTTGGAACGATTTTGTTGAGTGGAATAATTCGCGTTACGCTGTCCGCATTCAGAATAAACTCTTAAAACCGCGCATAATTTAGTCCAGAACATGGCATATTTGGCAATTTTCAACAGAACTTTACAAAAAATAATCGGAGAGGAAATATTTTTTCACATTTGAACTCAGTAAGTCGATATCTTTAATGGGGTAAAAAAAATTTCTTGAATATTATTATTTCGATCGATGAAAATTGACTGAATAAAAAAACTACACCGAGCATAAATATTCCGTTTTCTTCGAAAGTCGGAACAATAACCACCTATTAAATACAGCCAATGCTAAGGATTTTAAACACAGATTATTATTGTTCGGACTTTTGCAACGAAACTAACGGAATATTTGTGCTCGGGTGGTTTTTTTCTTCGGACAAATTTTAAATTTTCAAAAAATCGACTTTTTAACTCGCCACTTTTGACGGGATTTTTTTATATCATTCAAAAAGTATTCTTGTCCTGAGTTTAAATTTGGAAAGATATTTCACCTGTGATCATTTTTGTAAAGTTATGGGGGTTTAAAAATTGCTAATTTTGGACAAATAACGCGCGATATATTTCGCTCTATTAACGCGTAAGCGGAGATTTAATCCCTCATAGAAATCGTTCCAAATTGGTTGAAGGAAGCTTATTTGCCATAATTGATTAGTTACTAGAAGCTAAATGTATCACTTTGTACTTAATATGGCGTGTGGGGTGATGATTTTCACAAAAATCTCAAATTGAAAAAAAAATTCATTTTATTTTAATTACATTTAATTTTTTCATGTTATTACTGCTCCATAGACTGCTCTTTAAATTGAGGCATGTTAGTTGGTAAATTTCTTTTTTTTTCAAATTGACTGGTGCTGCTAATGCGTCATAGTTGGTGTGCGTCACTTAAGAAATTTTGAATACTCAAAGTTTTACTTATTCAGTTTTTCCATTTAGCGTTATTGTTCATATTTTTGCTTGTGTATGCGAAGTGCAAATTCGCCTTTGTGTTTGAAACTGTACTTTCATCTACTAGTAGGTGCAGCAGTTATTTTTTGACGCTGAATTTTTCATCTACTAGTAGGTACAGCAGTTATTTATTGACGCTGAATTTCAGTTTCAATTGCACAACTTTTTAACATAATCTTTTTTTTTGGTCGTTTGAAGCGGATATTCATTTATGAGTATTTTTTGGAAAAGCAAACATTCACAAACCCGGTGAAGTTTCAGTTTATCGCTTAAAACAGCCACATAAACATTGCTTTGAAACATGGCTGAAATTTTTTGTCTGCAGCTTAGTTTTTGGTCGGAACTACCAACTGGAAACAACATAATTTTTTCGGCCTTGTATCTTTTGCCTTCATGTTAGAATCTTTTTCGTGCAGTATGGTACTTTTGTGTTTATGGCCCCTGCGAGTATCCATGACTAAATAGGTCTTTGTGTGTTTCAGACAATAGCGGGTCTGCGGAATGCACTAGTGATGCCCTTCGTAGTCTTCATAGCCCCACCCGGATTCGAACAGCTGCGCATTGTGTCCAGAGACATGGGAAACACCCTTAGGGTCAGTACTAGATACAAGAGATAGTCATTGTAACAAAACTGTTGTATATAAAAGCGAAGCTCCTATTGTTCTGACTGAACTCTTAGGCAAAATAAAAAAGTTTTTTCCTTGTTTAATTGATTAATAAGAAGTTTTTTTTTCTCATTTTCTGATTAGTTTAACCCGTGATGCTATTTAAAGTACGAAGGGATGTATTTAGCGTCGCGTATTTTGAAAATATGACCAAATAACTGCTTCAATTCAATTTGGAACGATTTTTCCGCCATGTTATAAGAAAGCAATATATCGCGCATTAATTATCCCTAAGTGGCCAAATTAGCAATTTTGAACCGACCACCCCGTCACGAAATCAATCTGATCGCAGGTGAATTTGTTTGCATGTGAGCTCCTGATAACAATATTTTAAGATGAAAAACAAATTTCCGTCAAAACCGGTTAATTAAAACTTAAACTTGACTGATTGAAAAACCACCCCAAACGTAAATATTCCGTTGTTTGTGAAAGTCGGACCAAAAATTAAAAACACTAATGGCTATAGATTTAATAAGCGTTAGCTTTGAATAGCTGATTACATGCGAATGTTTGTAATTTAAGGTTTCTTGTTGTGGTCGTAACTTGTTCGGCTGGGTTTCCATACTTACTTTTATTGTAGGACACAAACAACATTGTGAGCCCAGTGTTAACATATATATATTTTTAAGAGTAATGAACCTAATGATTTTTTTGTTTTTTTTTCAGAATTTTTCTGAAGTTCAGTGCTTTTCCAAAAAGTGCTTTGTTAAAAGGAAGGCAAAATTCACTATTGAACAGCAAAAGTGGAAAGGTCACGAAAAATGTGATCGACTTCTGATTTTGAAAATGAAAAGGAATAATCAGATTTCCCAGCGAAATAAAAGTTTACGTATTGATCCAGTTTTCTCAAATTGGGTTAATTTTAACAAAAAAGTGTCTAGATTAAATTATTTTGCAAATTCAAATAGCTTTAAGGCCATATATTTTTTTCTTTGAAATTCAAAAGTTGAAAGCTCTTGAAAAATTAAGTCAGTTTTTTTGCGTGCATTACTCTTTTCCAACTGTTAGTTGACTATGTTTTTAAAAAAATCGAACTGCAAAGTTTATTCATAGTTAAACGGTATGATCTATCTATGCCCGCTTTATAAACGCGCAGTCGTTGCTGCATTATAATAGTGTAATCCATTACGCTATGGCTAAATTGTAAACGCTACGTGCTCTTGGTTGGAAGATCCGAGTTAAAATTTCTGAAATTTTTCTGTTACAGTTTGCGAGTGTAGTTTTACCCGGTTCGTCTGTTCAATTGTTAAGGGTCGTGAAAGTAGTGACTCACTCTTGTGTAGGTTTTAGTGATTTTTTTCGCGGCTGATTTCTTTTTAATTTAGTTTCTTTTGCTAAGAGGAATGCAAACTCTGCTATCGAAGAACATTAGTGTAAAGGTTGCGAAAAACGTGATCGACTTCTCGTTTGGAAAGTGGGTTTTTTAATTTACATGTTTTTCAGCGAAATGGAAAACTTACTTCTTGATTCATTTTTCTCAATATGGGTTAATTTTGTAAGAGCCTCAGAGTCACATTATTTTTCTTTGAAATTCGAAAATTGATTTTTTCAAAAAACTGTATTTTTTGCTGTTTCCTTGCGTTAATTGACTTTTTTTCCAACTGTATGTTTGCTGTTTTTTATTTAAATTTGCTTGTTTCGTTCAAAGTTAATTGCACCGTCTACAATCTGCCTATATCTTTATTCAAACGCATTCTTTGCTGCCTGATATCTAAAAAGAAAGTATGCATGAAAATAATTTAAAGCCAGGCAGCACGACTAAGTTGTTAGGGCAAGTGCCATTTTTTTCGAGGTATGCGTTAGAATCCACTTTTGTATTGACATTTTTTTAAATTTTTTTTTGCGTTTTCAGAATTCTCGTTTGCCGTTCTTTTTTTAACAACAACTTCGCCTCTGTGTTTGATCTTCTCTCCAGGCTTGTTCTTGTGTTTTTTTTTGTAATTTTGCAACTTTGGACCTCAATTTTGTCTTTATCGCTCTTGTTTTTTGCGTTGATTTTGTTGTTTCAAAGAGCAAATTTTAATGAAACAATTTTTTTCTTTTTTTTAGGCTTTTCATTAATAAAATTTTTGTGAATAAGCTGTTTGTCTCTTCCACTTTTTCTGGCTGCTCAAATTGAAGACACTTTTTTAAAAGTCCGTGAATGTAGTTCAGACTCTGACATAGCTCGTGATTGTTTTTCTCTTCGTTTTTTTTTTTCAGGAAAAGTTAAAAATCTTTCAGGCTTAAATTTTACTTTTTTTGCGGTTTACTTTTGGTTTCTTTTCAAGTTCAGTCTTTTTCTTTGTTTAAAGGAAGGCAAACTCCACAATCGAACAACAAAAGTGTACGAAATAGTTTCGAAAATAGAATTTAAGTTTCAGATTTCCCAGCGAAATAAATTTTTCATCTGTTTGTTTGAAATTCGAAAGTTCAAAGAGCTTTAAGAGGATCTATTTTTAATTCTTGGAAGTTCGACAGACAGTTGTTTTTTCATAAAACTAGTCAGTATTTTTTTCTGTTTACTGGTGCTCATTTACTCTTTTCCAACTGTCTGCTGGCGAAGTTTCAACTTTATATGCTGAATTACAAATTAGGCTGTTTTTATTGCATCACAGGTGGTACAAAACTAAAGATTACCATAAAGTAGATTTCCAACAGCCGAACTTGAAGTTTTTTGGGTTATTTTTTTTTGAAAGTGATTGTCTACTATTATTGAGTAATTATTGTTGATAAGGACAGCCCTTTGATTGACCATCAAGGCTAACTATAATTTGCGTTGAATTTTCATACTAACTAAAAACAGGTTTTGAATTGGGAACAAAATTAATTTTGTGCGAATAAAATGAGCATAGTATATATGTAGTGAATGTTTGTCATTGCAAGTGAGTCTTCTGGTTGGTTGTTTTGTTCATTTGGTGGCTCGTTTTGTTCACAGTGAAGTAGAGGGTCGATGTGAAGACAATGAGCATGATAATACTTAATAAGTCCGCGAGTAAGTAGTACGGCATGATTGCTCTGTTAGCATGAGCAGGGATCGCATTTATATGTCAAAAGAAATCTAAAAATATGTCAAAAGGATGCCAGCAAAAAACTCATTTGAGCATGCAAAGTTTTCCAAAACATTGAAATTTTGATGAATTCAGGAAGAGAAAATTAAATTTTTTGGCCCAAACAAAACCAATCTAGGCATCAGGGTGTGTAATCCGGTATTAATTTAAATTGAGATTTGTAAACTACTCAATTATTTTCTTCAGAAAAAGATGCTAAGTATGTCAATTGAAATGAATAATGTCAAAAACAGAAGAAGAAAAAACTAGTTATATGTTTCGATAAATGATCTATGTTAAAACATGGATGGTTAATGCGATCCCTATTCATGAGTTTAGCTCTGTGCTGTTGTTGTGTGTGTCTAGCAAGAGATAGTAGCTCCGAGGCCACTAAAAGGGCGCCTGTTAAGTGGCTGATGCTGTGTAGTAGCCATCTGTGTCTGGACCATCTGTTGCTAGCCCCCAGTAACAGTCGAGTCGTTCTGCAACGAAATTAAAAGGGGGAAATACATGAAAAAAAAGAAGCAAGGTAAAAAAATTTAAGAAAAACTGATTTCAATCGTTGAATTGGCATAGATGCTATTTTGTCAACAACACTAATTAATAATGAAATGGTGTAGTTGATGTTATATTAAGTTAAGTTAGGACAATTTGTTCACGAGGGAAAAGACTTACATTCAAACCGTTCGGCTTTTTTTCAGTGAACCGCTTTTTAGCCTCTTAATAAAAAATAATACATGCTAGTTTTTTGATTATTTTTCTGGGCTGAGTAAAGAAGTTTCCATCCCCAAGCAACGTGAATGGATAATGGTGGGCCTCGAACCTCCAACCTTTGGATAGTGAGGCCGAGACATAACCACTTCACCATCATTTCGTTTTTGTAACTAACATGAGTAGAAAAGCACAGAGTACAACAGGGTAGAATTGTCCAGTGTAAATGGCAGAGGGAATGACAATCAAAGCACAGATGGGAAAGCAGTGGGCTATACACTCGACCACGTCCACGTGTTGTGCCTTGGACAAGTCCTCACTGCACAGTCGATACTCCCTGCGACACCGGATGACGTAGACTGAAGAACTAGTGGCATAAAGTACACAGCCGAGAACCTGAAATAAAAAAAAACAAGCGAATTGAAAATTTGAAGCTTTTGGAAAACAAATGATAACGTAAGCCATGACATAGCTTATTTTTGGTTAAGTGTGGTATGAAGTTATTAGTAGTGATGATTCCAAAACAAAAAAAGAGGAGTTCTCTCTGCCAAAAAAGAAACGATCTGAAAATTTCCGTTTTTAATATCAATTTTCAGCAAGATACTGTATTAAGTTACTCACTCCAAAATCCAATGTTTTCCCTAATTAAATTTTCATTATCTAGCTCTAGCTTAAATCCTTTTTGCCTTCAAAAAACAGCACGTACGTCGGGAAAATTAAAAGAAAAGTTAGAACATGAAAATTTTTCATTTTTTGAACATCGAAATTTTGATAAAAATGAAATGCTCAAAGTCGGAACACTCAATAAAATTTGCGTTGCAGCCGGATACTCCGGATTGCTGTTAGTTAGTAACTTAGTAGCTAGCTCCTAGAAGTTCCAAACTGATGAGTTGTCATCTTACCCTTATCGAGAAGACGACCCATGGCAAGTGTTGAGAAATGAAGTTTTGCTGATTCTGAACCAGTGAGAAGGCATAGCCCACGTAACTCATGGCAACTACAGTACCTAAAAAATTATCAACAAGAATTGCCGGTTACTTTGCAAGAAGCGCAGAAAGATCCGACCAATTTTTTTCGAAACAATTTAAATGGTGAGTTTCCCACCTTGATACCACCTTAAGTCAGCGGCTCACGAATTTTGATCTTGGAACGATAAATGTCTTTTTTATAGTTATTGCCAAATTTTTGGCAATATTGGCGACGTTGGGCAGTTTAATTGGCCAAAAACTGCGATCTTTATGCGCTGAAAGAGGTGGAAAATGATTTTTCCGCCGGCATCACAATGAGCTGTTTTAGGTTACTTAACTTGTTCAAATTCGTTGACCGAAAAGGATATTGCCAAAAATTTGACTTAAATTATACAGTTACTAGGGATATTTAACAATATGCAACAAAATTCGGCTCTTTATCATTTTGGACTGCATAATTAGTTTTGCAGAACAGCATAATTACACCATAAAGTTGATGCTTTGCAAGGTAGGGTTGGGAGGATGAAAAAAGCCCATAATGCTGACTGACCCATAATGACTGCACCGAAGAGGTCGAATGCGAACACTGCACACTCTGTGATGTAGTTTTTGCTCATGAACAAGTGCGCCACGAAGGAGCTGAGGTTGGTAGTGAATGAGAGACACCCAATGTACAATGGCCACTCGTTGTACTCATTGTCCATAGAAGAAGAACGAGAGGAAATGTCTAATTTGCCATTCGACACGCATCCCAATATCATATCACCTGAACAAATGATACAAACTATGTGCGTCTTTCTCTAACAGGGAAAAGTATAATAGTTGGGCTCATAGAAAAAAAGCAAGGTTTCAACCACATGCTCAACCAATCAATGCCCTTAAAACTGATTTTATCGCTTAATTCTTTCAAAATTATGAATTCTGATTGGTTGACGAAATTTTTGCGCATTAGGAATTTCGCGCATGAGGAACGCCTCCACTTTGATAGTCCGAAAAAAGCAAGTATAATAATTGGGTCTCCAGAAAAAAAAAAGATATACGAAGTTGGGTCCCGACGTTTTCCCGAAAAGTTCGAAAATCCACGTTTCAGGGGCCCAAATATCATACATATTTGAAGTTATGATAAACAAAAGCAACTGCCGTAGCAATTAACATTAAAAAGTTGTAAATGTAGTCTCTGCAATCCAATTAGCGGATGATTCATGCTATTTGCTTCTAGGTGATGTTTGATAACAGAGCCTAGAACCATTACCTAAAAAGTAAATGTCGATTTAATGAGCAGAGCTACTGGGGTTCGGCATCTTAGTCCTTAAAGTGGTGGTTCTGGATACAAGGTTGGTAATGTTTTGTATTTTGAAAAAAGCCGTTTTAACAAAAAAAAATGATTAAAACCTTCTTTTTTGCACTAGTCAGAAATTTGAAAAAGGCCTAAAAATCTTAAGACCTCGAACAAAGAAGAAAGACTGCCTAAAAACAGACGTTCGAAACAGTGTTTTAAGCGTGTCTCAAGCACCCTGACACGCACATATCTGCTATTCACTGGCATAAATTTTACCCTAGAGAAAATGCGAGTTCGAATTCTCGCAGTTTCAAACGTGCCAACTGTGATGTTGACGAATGCTTTGAGTTTTACTGACCTAATATGAGCATGGCTGCAATGTTAGTCCAACAGTTGAGTGTTTCATCATGCCACTGGAACAGACTTCTCAGATAGTACATCAGAGACTGGTCCTTCTTTCGCACATCTGGCTCCACGCGATTCAGCATCACAGAAAACCCGTTGGCTTTCATGATGCCCATTTCTTAAGCGATCCGTTTAAGAGATAGGAATTTGTAATTCGTAACAAGTATCAAGGTTTTAGCTCGAGTCAGTGCAAGTTGTTATTAAGTGTCAATGAACGAAGCGAAGACACTTACATAGGTCGTGATGATTATTTATTTATTTTTTTCAGGAAAATGTCTTAAAAATTTGATCACGCCTGATTTGATCTTTCGCTGTTCGGTTTGACTTGATTTCTTTTAAAAATTCAATTCTAGTTCAGTTGATAAAAGGAAGACAAGTTTCGCTGTCCAAAAACGACAACTCAAATGGCTCGAAAAACTTGAGTTTTTCATTTCGAAAGCGGAATAAAGAAATCACGTATTGATCCAAACTTCTCCATTGGTCTATTTTATCAAAAAATCAATCATAAACATTCTTGAAAAACAATGAGTTTTAACGCCATGCAGTTCATTGACATTTTTACAACTTTATAGATTTTTGCTGGATATGATAGTTTTTAGTATTTTGATTCCATATTTGCTAGCATCATTTGTCTTGGCTGACGATGAATTAATTCCGCTACGGCAGACCCTGAGTCCAATAAACAAGTTTGTCTATTTTTAACCAAAGAAAAGGGTTCACACTTCTCGATTCAAATGGTACGATGTTCTGAGATAAATAAAGGCTAGAGTTGCCAACAGGGCTCCAAAGTTCAATTGCTAATCAATAGAAAACAAACTTAGTCGCACTGCTTCGAGAAAACATTATACATGTAATGTGGTAACTGGAGCTGTCACGTATAATTTGCTTGTTTGTTTAGTTTCAAGCCAGTATGGTTAATATACGAATTTGGATTTATCATTTGCGAGAACAAACTTGTAAAAACTGACTGTCTTTAGTACTTTCAATTATCTGCCGTTCTTTCTGAGCTCTCATTATTTGTGATTGAGGATAAATGGCAACTTAGCTTCTGAAATGATTTGATGATTTGACGTAAAGATATGATCATGATGGTTGATGTTGATATCAGGCGCGGAGTTGAACCCTTCGGAAGGGGTAATGCGCACCCTTCCCCACTCTGCTTTTTGATGCTTTGTTTTTCACGTTCGCTCGATAAAAATTTGCATGAACAGAAGAATAAGTCTCAGTGAACGTAGTTATGTTGTATTGTTCGTTTTGATATGCACGAATAGAGGCGTTGAGTCTCAATGAACGCAGTGAAGTTGAATTTGTCGTTTTTGTTTTCGTTTTAAAGAGTCGATTAACGTAGTTCAGACTCTTAAATAGGTCGCGATTATTTGGATTCCTTTGTTCTAGAAGTTATGAGAGATTTAAGGCCCTCTTGGAAATTCGAAAGTTGGGATTTTTTTCAAAACACAAGTCAGTATTTTTTGTGTTTTCTTTCTTTCATTGACTCTTTTCCAACTGTCCCTTTGCTCTGTTTTTTTTTCGGGAAAAACTCTTAAAGTTGATTCATGCTCAAGTTTGATTGCTTGCGGTCTGACATTTGATTTTTTCAAAGAGCAGTTCAAATTAATTTGCTAGAAGTCAAATTAGGCTTTTCAGTTCGCGGAATGAAAAAATATCTTCTGATCCAGCTTTGTCAAATTGGGTTAGTTTAATCAAAAATTCTGTTTAATCAATCATAAAAATCATAAAAGAATTTCTAATATTTTTATAGTGATTTATTTTTCTCTTTGTAACTCGAAAGTGGAACTTCAAAAAATTTTCTACTTTTTTTTCGGTCTCACTGAGTTCATTGATACTTTTCTCACTGTCTGTTGGCTGTGTTTTGATTGGTTCTGTTGCAAGAATTTCATCTAGCTGGACGTGTCAAATATCGATTCCCATTTTTTCAACTCCAACGTTCTACTTTTTTTTGTCAATTTTGCAATTTCGCTTTTAAGAGGGAAATAATGATGTATGGTTGAGTTGAGCCAATCGGGCTTAGAAAGATACAACTTCTGTCTGAAGTTATTTGTGATGTAACTGTAATGCAGAAACTTGTAAAAATTTGTGTCGAGTTTCATCTAAAGTTCTTGGCTAGACACTTGAAAGTGAGCACATCTTGACGTTTTTTAAATCGACACAGTTGTCAATTGATAATTTTATTAAATATAATGGTAAATGTAACATTATTTTGTTGACGTTGGAAACTACACTTATATAACAACCACCAAATTGGTATATCAATCTCCTGGACTAACTTAAGTCAAAGCAGTCTGGTGCATAAGTAAGATCCTAAATCTAAAAGAGCCTATACTAGATTCAGAGACATAGATTCTCGAGTTCTGCCACCGCTGGACTGGTATGATCTTCAGTTTGTAATGATTGGTTGTTTTGTTACATTTGAATGGTGTAGCATTGGATTTTTATTGTTTTGTTTGTAGGACAATGAGTTGAGAGCGGTGATAGAGGAGGCTAGAGTTATGGACTTGCAGTATGGACACTTGTTCGATGACGTCATAGTCAATAACGGTCTGGAAGAGTGTGTCCATCAGCTGTCCATGCTCTGTGACAAAGTACGCACTGAGCCACAATGGGTGCCAGTCCAGTGGCTAGGAAAACAACCCTCCCCCATTCTACATGAGGACGAACACTAATGGGGTGCATGTGCAATCACCATCTCGCAGGAGAAAAATTAACTAAAAGAAGAGAATTCAACTTGGCATCAATGTTCGTTTGCTCTCACCCTTGCCTATTACAATGCAGTGAACGATAACTTATGAACGATAGGGAATGGTAAAATTTCAAACCTGCAAACGATAAGTCAATTATTACGGCGATGCGTTCTCGAAGTCATCAAAGTACACTTGAAAAACTAACAGCTGAGAAGTAAATCTGTTCAATATGATATTTCATCTGTTGAAAAGTCGAAGGTCGTTCTGTTTCGTTTTGACAAGTTCGCATTCGTGGAGGGAAGTGAACCTTATTGTGAGAATTTATTGTAAATTTAATGTAAGTTGAAAATTTGTAACTTTCGCTTTTTAAAAAATCTGTGCAATTTAGCTCGATTTTCGGTTTCTGATTCCCTTGAGCAAATTTTGCTCTAATCCTGTCATTTTTATCGCAAAACTCATATCATTTCAAGGTCATTCCGCTAGCAAAATTTATCTTAACTGTTTTTATTGATTAAACAAATTGTTTATTAATTAAAATATTTAGTTGCATTTTGTTCAAATGTGCCTTTGTATAACCTGAAATATCAAATTGTAAGATATATTAGAAGACTTCAGATGTTTCAAATTCCATCAATATAATTGATTAGATAGCGTTTCGTTCAATTGATTTTGATAGTATGTGTTTTCATTACTTAACCCAACTAGTAGCGTGCCAAAAAATCCTGTCAGTTAAGTTTTCTTGAATGCGAGTTCCATAAGCCCCCGCAACTGAAGCCGGCTGTTGTTTCAACAGACATTTTTTGCTAGCGAAGCAAACTTTTTTCTAGCTTCATTCGTAATTTTGTTTAGCAGTTTTTCGTAAACATATAAAGGCCAATAATGAGCATGTGAAGAAATGGTTGTTCAGGCTCGACCTAATTTAGTAAATGTCAAGGTTTTAATCCATAGCCAAACAGGAGTTGACGCGAAACTTTGGAATTTGGTGATAGAAAACGCGTAACGCCGAAAACTACCCTGTTCCAGTCACGAAGCAGAAAGGGACCTCTCATTCGCTTTGTCTTCAAGCAAAATCAGATTTCAAAGTAAGCGTCAGATGCCGTTAGTTGAATGATACGATATTTTCGTGATTCGATCGATTCATGAAGCTCACCCAGAAAAGGTGACTGTTTTGAAAAGAAAAATTGGTGGAATTATCTGTGCTACTTGCAGATCAAGCAGCTATTCTAATTGCTATTTTAATTTTTTCCTATTTATTATTCCAAAAAAAACATCTAAAACGATATAATCATTCGAAGAGTTTTAAAAATGACTTCGATTACAATCAGCGTTCATTTAAACATGCGCGGTGACAATTTTTTCTCGATACAGAAATTTATTCACTACTGAAAAACGAGTGCTAGCAGAGTTATGATTGGAATAGTTATTAAGTGGTAATGAACGTAGCGAGGACAGATAAGGTCGTGATATTTTTCTTGCTTTTCAGGAAAGTCTTAATTTATGCAAGCTCAAATTTGATTTTTTGAGATTTGATTTCAATTTTTTTAAAAGCTGTTCTTTTCCTTTCTTAAAAGGAAGGCAAACTCCTTTATTGAACAGCAAAAGTGATAAAGTCAAGAAAAAGGCGAATGACTACTTGTTTCGAAAGTTGAATTTAACTTTCAAATTTTCCGGAGAAAAAAAAACTTGCCTATTTTTTCGGTTTTTGCAAGTTGACGTTATTAATCACAACAATCAGTCATAAATTATTCATGAAATTCCAATGGCAAAATTTATTTGTTTAAATTGTTAAGTTTTTTTTCAGTTTCCTTGGATTCATTGACAATTTTTTAAGCGTCTCTTGGCTATTTTATTATGATAGCAAATTTAGCCGACAATTTTGTCACGTATGATTAGCAACCAATTAATTGTTTATTAATTAAAATATTTAGTTGCATTTTGTTCAAATGTGCCTTTGTATAACCTGAAATATCAAATTGTAAGATATATTAGAAGACTTCAGATGTTTCAAATTCCATCAATATAATTGATTAGATAGCGTTTCGTTCAATTGATTTTGATAGTATGTGTTTTCATTACTTAACCCAACTAGTAGCGTGCCAAAAAATCCTGTCAGTTAAGTTTTCTTGAATGCGAGTTCCATAAGCCCCCGCAACTGAAGCCGGCTGTTGTTTCAACAGACATTTTTTGCTAGCGAAGCAAACTTTTTTCTAGCTTCATTCGTAATTTTGTTTAGCAGTTTTTCGTAAACATATAAAGGCCAATAATGAGCATGTGAAGAAATGGTTGTTCAGGCTCGACCTAATTTGGTAAATGTCAAGGTTTTAATCCATAGCCAAACAGGAGTTGACGCGAAACTTTGGAATTTGGTCATAGAAAACGCGTAACGCCGAAAACTACCCTGTTCCAGTCACGAAGCAGAAAGGGACCTCTCATTCGCTTTGTCTTCAAGCAAAATCAGATTTCAAAGTAAGCGTCAGATGCCGTTAGTTGAATGATACGATATTTTCGTGATTCGATCGATTCATGAAGCTCACCCAGAAAAGGTGACTGTTTTGAAAAGAAAAATTGGTGGAATTATCTGTGCTACTTGCAGATCAAGCAGCTATTCTAATTGCTATTTTAATTTTTTCCTATTTATTATTCCAAAAAAAAACATCTAAAACGATATAATCATTCGAAGAGTTTTAAAAATGACTTCGATTACAATCAGCGTTCATTTAAACATGCGCGGTGACAATTTTTTCTCGATACAGAAATTTATTCACTACTGAAAAACGAGTGCTAGCAGAGTTATGATTGGAATAGTTATTAAGTGGTAATGAACGTAGCGAGGACAGATAAGGTCGTGATATTTTTCTTGCTTTTCAGGAAAGTCTTAATTTATGCAAGCTCAAATTTGATTTTTTGAGATTTGATTTCAATTTTTTTAAAAGCTGTTCTTTTCCTTTCTTAAAAGGAAGGCAAACTCCTTTATTGAACAGCAAAAGTGATAAAGTCAAGAAAAAGGCGAATGACTACTTGTTTCGAAAGTTGAATTTAACTTTCAAATTTTCCGGAGAAAAAAAAACTTGCCTATTTTTTCGGTTTTTGCAAGTTGACGTTATTAATCACAACAATCAGTCATAAATTATTCATGAAATTCCAATGGCAAAATTTATTTGTTTAAATTGTTAAGTTTTTTTTCAGTTTCCTTGGATTCATTGACAATTTTTTAAGCGTCTCTTGGCTATTTTATTATGATAGCAAATTTAGCCGACAATTTTGTCACGTATGATTAGCAACATACGTGACAATGACTTCCAATGTCAGAAAAAATCCACTCACGATTCAAATTGAGATAGCAAGAGTTCTTCCGGTAATCAAATTTTCTAACAGATTGAATAAGTCATTTAAACATGCCTTTTAAGGACACTCAACTCAGGCAGCTGAATCGGAACACTTAGTTCAAATATGGATTCCGTACTTGAACTTTTTCGATCTCTAAGTAACAGATTTCTTCGATAATACATTTTCATTTTTTTAAATTGATTAGGGAAATTTAATAATTTTTAAGAACATCAGCAATTATTTCTGTATCGCATTATATGCGACTTTCAAATGCAATGAAAGAATTATAGTCCCAGTTTAGTTTTTGAAATAAGATTGCTCATATCACAGTTAAATTCCTGTGTAACGTTTAGTCGCTAGATGCCCATTTTATTAAGACGAATGAACTCAGTGTTTGGTCAGGATTAATGCTCGAGCAAAAAAAAATAGGAAACTTATAAAAAGTGCAAAAGGTCCGAGCTGTTTGAAATAAGATGGAGACGTTTGTCGTAGCATTTTTTTTTTCAACGCTTATTCTCCGTTTCTTTGGTTGTTGAGCTTTTTTTATAATTTTTTGTTGAATTTATTTTCTGTGTTATTTTTCTTGTTGGTTGTTTATCCTAAGTCGACTGTTTTAATCTCAAAATTGAATGGAAACTTTTTTCACCTGGTCGGAGAAAATAGGTCTTTAGCGAATCAATTAAGTAGCTAATTCAATCTTCTAAAGCATAAATATCTAATTAAGAAATTTGTTAACTTGTTGAAGCTCGTTGATTAAATTCTAGGATATTTTTATTGTGATTTTTTTTTGGATCTCTGGTAGGTTAAGCCAGTGGAATTGAATCATCTGTATTGGCAGCAGATTTTCCTCAAATTTATTTTAATTTCACTAAACACTTTTGTCTCGTTTGAAAATTTTGCCTTGATTCTTTAATCAATAATTTCTAGGCAGGTTGAACCAGTGGTATTTTTTATCGAGTTGAAATTTTTAGTCTAGGAAACTTTAACTCACTTACAGGGTAACGTAAGATACTTTTAACGGATTTTCTTTTTTTTTTTGTGTAGAAAATTAGATTTTTACCAATTCCTGCATTTTCGTAACCATCTCGATTTGTTCTGTTTTTATTTTCTATTGCCAATTTCATACTTCAATAAAGACAACTATTCATTCTTAACTCCATTGTTTTTTTTTCAGTCAGCAATTGCACTCGGCCTGGGTCACATTGTTTGCAAAAAGAAGCATTTGCAGCTCATCTAAATTAACTTCTCCCATTTTAATTAGGCAGTCCCGTTTTAATAAGGCAGTCCTAAGTGGAAGCGAATCAATGCTGCGATAAGTGCGATTTCTGCTGCAAAATGCTGATGTTTTTCAAAGCAAGGTCAAGCGTCCTACGAGTCAAAAAATTTAGTGGATTTTTGCACTTTGTAATTTAAACGCATACGATTCTTGATTAGGTTTTTATCAATTTCATAGCTCAGACCATCCGGACACTTTTTGCAAAAATTGAATCATACAATAATGGCTGAAATTTGAAATTACCACCAACGTCTTAGTATAATACCGCTCTTAATCTTACTCTTATATCTCCTAGTCTCAATAGATCTAGTGTATACTGGTTTATGCGAGTTCGTTGCCGGAAGGAGAACAACTGTATTCTAAGTTTTATTCAAATTGTTCCGGTGCTGAAATTACAATAGTTTCAGCACTTACAAATAAGTGTAAATGTTAGAGATGGAATATGATTGGTTAGTTATAAATATTTTATGGTGATATTTAATCATAAATATAATTGGTCTATAAATACTAGTTAAGAACTGGTTGCAGTTTGTCGTAGCATCTTTTTTTCAACGCTTATTCTCCGTTTCTTTGGTTTGAGCTTTTTTTAAATAATTTTTTGTTGAATTTAATTTCTGTGTTTTTTTTCTTGTTGGTTGTTTATCCTAAGTCGACTGTTTTAATCTCAAAATTGAATGAATACTTTTTCACCTGGTCCGAGAAAATAGGTCTTTAGCGAATCAATTAAGTAGCTAATTCAATCTTCTAAAGCATAAACTTCTGATTAAGAAATTTGTTAACTTGTTGAAGCTCGTTGATTAAATTCTAGGATATTTTTGTGATTTTTTTGGATCTCTGGAAGGTTGTACCTGTGGAATTGAATCATCTGTATTGGTAGCAGATTTTCCTCAAATTTATTTTAATTTCACTGAACACTTTTGTCTTGTTTGAAAATTTTGCCTTGATTCGTTAATCAATAAATTCTAGGTAGTTTGAACCAGTGGTATTTTTTATCGAGCTGAAATTTTTAGTCTAGGAAACTTTAACTCACTTACAGGGTAATG